TCTTTTGTGCACATTTAGAAATCTGTCCGGAGAAGACAAGACAAGCCAAGCCGATTTTGAGCCGTTTTAGAGCCGAATATGAGCAGTTTTAAAACTAAACTGAGCCGTTTATAGCCAAACCAGATCTGGTTTTTTTTTTTGGCTCCTTGGTGCAGATAGGAGCTCCGTTTGTCATTACTGGGTATTTTTTCTTCTTATTTTTAGCATTCTAAAATTACATAAGTAAAAAAAGTGAGTATTATTAGTTTTGATAATCCTTCATTACAAATCAGTCTCGTAAAACTTGATGGAAATAATTATCTTGCTTGGTCGAGATCTTATTTATTGTTCATCAAATCTAGAGGATTGTAGAGTTACATTATTGATGAGATGAAAAAAGCAGATGTTAGTAGTTTAGAATATAATAGATGGGATTCTGAGAGCTCATTGGTAATGGTATGCCTCATAGATTCCATGCAACCTATATTGCCAAAACATATATGTTGCTTAATACTGCCAAAAAAATATGGAATGCAGCATCTCTTACATATTAACAGATGGGTAATGACGCCCAGATTTATAAACTTTGGAATAAAGTTTATGGCACAAAGTAAGGAGATATGACTATTTCTCAATATTTTTCTGAACTAAATGGATTATGACAGGAGATAGATTACTATCAAGATTTTCAAGTAAAGTGCCCTGCAGATGCAGTCAAATTTCAAAAATTGATAGAAAAAAAGTGAATTTATAATTTTTAGCTGGTCTGAACATCAAATATGATCAAATACGGATCCAAGTGCTTGGTAAGGATCCTTTTCCTTCATTAAAACAAATTTATGCTTATGTTCAGTAAAAAGAGAGTAGAAGAAATGCCATGCTTCACATTGCACCAGTTGAGAAGGCTGGATTAGTTGCTCAGTCTAATCAATTCAGAGATATATGGAAGTGTGATTATTGTGGCAAACCAAGATACATTAGGGAAATTTGTTGGAAGTTGCATGCATGACCAATTAGAGGTCGGGAAGAAAGAAGAGGTGTAGCCATAAGAGCTCAAACAAATTTTGTTAAAGATAGAGAAACATTTGGTTCATCATCCGTTGGAGCCTTTTCCACAGAAGAAATTCAAAATCTGAAGCGCCTTCTGAGTCAACTTAACTCTCCATCAACTATTGACATATCAAATATGGTAAAATCAGGTATTGTTCATTTTATTTCTACTCTTGATAGTTGGAGCATAAACTCTGGAGCTAACAGACACATGACAGACTCTTATAAAGAATTCTTAACCTATTCTTCTTGTACTGACGGAGATAATATCTGTATAGCAAATGGGTCATACACTCCTGTGTCGGGAACAAGTTTCATTAATTGTACTTCTATTATTACACTGTCTTCAGTTTTACATGTGCTTAGTTTTTTTGATAATCTTTTATTTATTAGTATTATAAATAGAGATTTCAACTGTAAAATTGAATCTTTTTTCTATTTGTTGGATATTTTTCTTCCCAAAAAGGTTATAATTGTTATCATCCACCATCTAGAAAATATTTTGTAATTATGGATGTTACCTTTAGGAAAAATGAGTTTTTCTAAAACTCAAACCCAACACCTCTTTAGGGGGAGGGTGAGAAGGGAAGAAGTAATATCTAATTGGGTAACGATTGAGAATCATATTAAGGGGAAGAATTCTATTACAGAAAGTTTTAATTAAAAAAATAATGTTGGACGTTTAGATAAACCAGACTTGAAAAGGTATTCAAGGAAAGAGAAGTCTGAAAAAGCCATCATTCAGTCTGTCTCAAGTCAAGAATCTTATTTGGTTCCAGAAGATACTGGTGAGCTATCTTTATCTTGTGATTTATCATATAAACCTATTGCTATTAGAAAGGGAACGAGAACTTGTACTAAGCACCCTATATCTAAGTTTGTTTTCTATAACTCTCTATCTCCCTCTTATAGAGTTTTTGTCTTATCTGTTTTTTCTTTTAACAACCCTATTTTGTTCACTGGTATAGGCACAACTTGTCTGATGAATTATCCTATTTGACTCCAAGTAGGCACGAAACTCACTGTCCATATATTCTGTACCATTGTCAGTTCATAAAATCTTAACTTTAGCACCAAATTATGTATATATTATTTTATGAAAAGATTGAAAATATGAAAATACATCATCTTTTGCTTTTAACAGATAAATTTCTGTTAATCTAGTACAATAGTTAATAAAAGTAACAAACCATTTATGAACAAAAAAAGAGGTATTCTAAGTAGGTCCCCATACATCAGAGTGAATAGTTATAAAAAAATCAGTACTTCTATTATTACTTAAATGATAAGAACTTCTCTTATGTTAGCAAATTCGCATGCATCACAAAATAAAGACTCTATAAAAATTTTTTTAAATAACTTACGATATAATTTTTCTAAAACAAAAAAAGAATGATGTCCCAATCGTCGGTGCTATTGTAGTATCTCCATATTGACTTTTTTATTCCCAATGGTTGCTTGATTTATAAAGTCATCTTACAATCTACCAGTGTCAATCCTCTTCCCAGTTTGAAGATCCTGAAATATGCAATGATTAGGAAAAAATTCAATTTTACAATTGAGATCTCTAGTTATGGCGTTAATAGATAAAAAATTATCAGAAAAAATAGACGCATACTAGAGGTAGTTCGGTTACTAAAGTTCACCATGAATCTACCAAATAGTTACTAGGGAAATGCAGTTCTCTCAACTATCTATTTTATCAATAGAATGTTTTTGTAGATTCTGAATTTTAAAAGTCCTATGGAGGTTTTGCAAGAAAAAAATTTTTACATTGTTTCCTAAAAAATGTTTGGATGTGTGTGCTTTGTTCATGCTAGAAATGTGGGTAAACTAGAATTTAAAGCTCTTAAGTGTGTATTTGCTGGATATTATTCTACCCAAAAAGGTTATAAGTGTTATCATTCACCATATAGAAAATACTTTGTAACTTTGGATGTTATCTTTAGGGAGAATGAGTCTTACTTCAATTCAAAATCAACATCTCTTTAGGGGGAGAGTGAGAAGGAACAAGTGATACCTAATTGGGTAACGATTAAGAATCATATTAAGGGGGAGAATTCTATTACAGAAAGTCTTAATCAAAAAAATAATTTTGGATGTTTAGATAAACTAAACTTGAAAAGGTATTGAAGGAGAGAGAAGTCTGAAAAAACCATCATGTAGTCTGTCCCAAGTTAAGAATCTTCTTTGGTTCCAGAAAATACTGGTGAATTATCTTTCTCTTGTGATTTATCAGATAAACTTATTACTATTTGAAAGGGAACGAGAATTTGCACTAAGCACCCTATATCTAACTTTGTTTCTTATGACTCTCTATCTCATTCCTATAAAGTTTTTATCTTGTCTGTTTCCTCTGTGTTTATTCCAAAGGATTGTAAAGAAACTTTAGGAGATCCCAAGTGAAAGAAAGTCATGATTGAAGAAATGAGAGCATTAACAAAAAATGAAACATGGGAACTTGTTTCACCTCCACAGGGAAAGAAGATAGTTGGTTGCAAATGGGTATTCACCGTAAAACACAAAACAAATGGATTGATCAAAAGGTATAAGTTAGATTGGTGGCTAAAGGATTTACTCAGACTTATAGGGTTGACTATTAGGAGACATTTGCACCTGTTGCGAAAATGAACACAATTAGGATACTTTTGTATTGCACAGCTAACCTTGATTGGGATTTACAATAATTTGATGTAAAAAATGCATTCTTCCATGAAGACTTAGAGGGAGGAAGAGGTGTACATGAAAATTTCACATGGATTTGAAGATGAGAGGATGTAAAAAAAAATTTGTCAATTAAAAAAGGTCTTATATGGATTGAAGTAGTCTCCAAGAGCATGGTTTGAACGATTTATAACAGTTATGATCTATTTTGGATATCAACAAAGTAATCTGGATCATACCTTGCCTATTAAACATCATGAGGGTAAGGTTACTCTTCTCATTGTTTATGTGGATGATATTGTGGTGATTGTAGATGATACAAAGGAGATGGCTCGATTGAAGGAATTTCTTGGTCAAGAGTTTGAAATGAAAAATTTAGAAAAATTGCAATACTTCTTGAGAATTGAA